TGACGACCGCACCGCGGGCTGTGTCATTTTGAAATCGCCAACACAATGCTAAAGGCGGGTCGCTCCGGACGTCTAATTTATGGCTCTTTAATCTCTCATATACGACTTGTAGATTAAAGTAATTAAAATGGCATTCACACATAGGAAGTGCCAAGGATTAAGTACGCGGTATATTCGCTGACGTTGCACGGCTTCACCTCTTTGATACAGAATCAGATAAAGTTGGCACGTAGGATTAACATTGTCCGTAAGACGTTACAACGTATTAGTCATCACGCAATCACATGCTATTCAATTATGGTTATTTGTACGTGGTTTCTGAAATAAAAACATATAACTGTCTCAGTAATGTTGATTTCACCATGCAGCATACTTGGTCAGCTACAGGTCCCTGCTCATGAATTTGTCTAGACTAACATCTAGTCTCTGAAATGAACATATCGTAAAGAAAAAAACAGTTGTTCAGTTATGATACTGCAGTAATCTAGACTTGCCAAACATTATAGACTTGCATGGGCTGTATTTGATATAAATTTGTATCAGGGTCTGTAAGACAGACTAGAATTTGTCTTACGGTCTATGAACGAATTATTTTCCCTTCCGCCCAGCCCTCACTGTAAATCTAGAGCTCAAAATAGCAAGTCTAGATTTTCTACAGGTTCTGAAACGACCGTCTAACTTGGGCCCCTTTTCAATTTAAATGTAACTGCTTGTTTCTACCACAATCATGTATTTTCAGAGACTAGGGCTTGTCTAGGCCCGCGTTGTATAAAGTCATCTTAGCGCTGCAACATTCGTTACTTTCACAAATGAACGTAGGCCGTTGGTGTAGACTCAAATCTAGTCTCTGAAATGAACATATCGGACAGAAAAAATAGTTGTTAAATTAACTTAATAAAAATTTGATAAAATGGATCCCAGGGACTCTCTTCATTTTCAGACACTGCAGTAATCTAGACTTGCCAAACATTATAGACTTGCATGGGCTGTATTTGATGTATTTGTATCAGGGTCTGTAAGACAGACTAGCCCTTGGTGGTGTTCCTCAGAACAGCAGCTGAAATGTACATCACACGGAAGTGACTATCTTCTCTTTGTGAAACGAGGTTTGTTTTATGCCGCACTCGGCAATGTTCCAGCTATATCAAAGACAGCTGTAAATAACCAAAGTTGTCCCCATCCCCAAAACATTTAAAATAGTGGTTGATATAAGTATCAACGTACCACATGGGGACCTGATCACACGATTCAATGGGTAGCCTCTTGTCAGGCAGTGTGTGCTGGGGGCCTATTCTTAACCCACAGGGCATTCAACTCAACACCAGTGTCAGAGTTATCTGCCCATTATACCCAGATGGTAGAAAGTGTGGTCGGTGTATGCGTTGTTTGTTGTTTAACGCTGCACTCAGCAATATTCCAGCTATATGAGGCGTTCTGTAAATAATCGAGTCTGGATCAGAAAATCCAGTGCTTGACATCATGAGCAGATCCACGTAATTGGGATACGATGACATGCATCAACCAAGTCAGCAAGCTAGACTACCCATCCCGTTAGTCGCCTCTTAGGGCAAGCATGGGTTGGTGAAGACCAATTTTGATCCTTTGACCAGGATCTTCATGGGTGGGTAAGTGTATGATTACTGCTTATGTAGCAGTAGTGTTCAATCAGTGTACTGGAGTGAGTGAGTAAGTATGGTTTTACACCCTTTTTAGCAATATTCCAGCAATATCACGGATGGGGACACCAGAAATGGGCTTCACACATTGTACCAATGTGGAGAATCGAACTTGGGTCTTGGTGTGACGAATGCTTTAAACACAAGGCTACCTCCCCACGCCCAGTTTTGTTTGTTTGTTTGTTGTTTAACGCAGCACTCAGCAATATTCCAGCTTTATGACAGCGGTCTGTAAAATAATCGAGTCTGGACCAGACAATCCAGTGATTGACATGAGCATCGATCCACGCATTTGAGATCGATTAAATGCATCAACCAAGTCAGGGAGCCTGACCACCCGATCCGTTAGTCGCCTCTTACGACAAGCATAGTCGCATTTTACGGCAAGCATGGGTTGCTGAAGACCTATTCTACCCTGGATCTTCACAGGTCCACCGCCCCCAGTGCACTGGTACACAAGGTATAGGTGTAACTGCCTTCAGAGTGCATATGCATATGGAGGTGCATATCCAACAACATATTATGCTGTATGTAAGTGTGCTGCCAGGTCTCCTTGGCAAAGGTTTAGTACGAAAGAACAAGATATGTGAACTTCATATTATGGTATTGGGATGTCCAAATGGAGTAACTGAAAACACAAGGTAGATTGGTATCACCATTTTTTTTCTGTAGCTCACCTTTCAAATATCAAGTAAACAGTTTTCTTAAAAACCATGAAAACATTCAGCTGAATTCGTTCTGCAGCTTCCAAGATAAAAAGAAATATACAGCAATTTCCACATTTGATGTAATTCATTACCACAGGTAAAGTAATTAATGTCAAGTATTTTTAAGAAACCATATTCATAATAGCTTTCAAATTATTTTTGTACATAATTATATTTTTTCAATTTGTGTTTGCTCTGGTTGCATGGGACTTCTTGCTGTGAGAAACATCATCTAAATACCTCAAATCAAAAGTGTTTCAACTGACTTCCAAGGCAACTGACAAAGTATGGGTAAAACACCTTGAAAGTCTTGTTAATACTGATAATACTTGTATTACAGGTGGAAAATAATACATATCTCATTACTACACTCCAAAATGAGCTAATGTTTCTTTATCTCCTTGGCATTGAACAAGTAGGGAACAGCGTGAATGAGCCAAGGTGGGATGGCTCTTCTGTGCAGGGTTTGTTTCTTTGTTGTTTGATGCCGCACTCAGCAATATTCCGGCTATATGATGGCAGTCTGTAAATAATCAAATCTAGACCAGACAATCCAGTGATTGATATCATGAGCATTGATCTACGCAATTGGGATAAGATGACATGCATCAACCAAGTCAGCGAGCCTGACCACCCGATCCCATTGGTCGCCTCTTACGACAAGCATAGTCGCCTGTTATGGCAAGCATGGGTTGCTGAAGACCTATTCTAATCTGAAACTTTGCTGGCCCCCTCGACAGTGGGGAGTGAGTTAATATCACAATTGTCATGACTTGAGTCATACCACAGTTGGCCTAACCACTTTTGTGTGTGTATATGTGTTTAACCCCTCACTCAGCTATATGACACCAGACAATCCAGTGATTGATGTCATGAGCAAAGATCCCCACTGTCGGGGTACAATGACACACCATCCACCAAGTCACCAAGTCTGACCACCCCATCCATTAGGTCACCAGCACAGGTTGCTGGGGACCAATTGTGACCCGGAATCCCCACAGGGATCACTTTGGTAAAACACTTGTCTGCAGATTCGGTATGGACAGACCAAGGATCATATTCTGTCCAATCTCCATGCTGAAATAGACCAAGGATCGAAACGCCATGCTGAGAAAGATCAAGAATCATTATCCATCCAAATCTCCATGCTGTGCAGATCAAGGGTCATAATCTGTCCGAATCCCCATGCTGAGACAGACCAAGGATCATAATCTTTCCGAATCCCCATCCTGAGACAGACCAAGGATCATATTGTGTCCTTTTCCCCATGCTGAGACAGACCAAGGATCATAATCTGTCTGAATCTCCATGCTGAGACAGTCCAAGGATCATAATCTGCCTGAATCTCCATGCTGTGATAGACCAAGGATCATAATCTGTCTGAATCTCCATACTGAGACAGACCAAGGATCATAGTCTGTCCAAATCTCCATGCTGAGATAGACCAAGGGTCATAATCTGTCTGAATATTCATGCTGAGACAGACCAAAGGTCATGATCTGTCCAAATCTCCATGCTGAGACAGACCAAAGATCATGATCTGTCCAAATCTCCATTCTCAGACAGACCAAAGGTCATGATCTGTCCAAATCTCCATGCTGAGACAGACCAAGGATCATAATCTGTCCAAATCTCCATGCTGAGAGGAACTGATCGTAAGGAACTTGAAAGTCCATCGTGACAGAAAGAAAAAGAAATATGGCTATGAAATACAGAAGTATTTTCTTTATTAAAACAATATATGTCATGCAATACATTACTGTCACTGCATATATTAGTGTGACTATATAAATACTACAGATCAAATACAACTCATGAAATCAGTACAGGGCAGTAGTGATCCCCCAACTACAGCCAGCATTAAACACAAGCTCTCTGCCCTGGGGCTGAAACTGTTTACTGGTACATCAGAGTACCATACCATACCATATTCATAAATACAACAACTTCCTTCACTGGTGTATCATAACATGTTCACAAATACAATCCTGGGACAGCAATACAGAAATTGAAATTTTATTAAAACATAATCTGTTTCATTCAAGGTGGCATACTTCCAATATGCAGCAATGGTGACTTACTACTGCCCTGTACTGTACCATCTTCTCTATACTGTACACTGAACTCCCCATCTCCCAAGCTTAGTGTGTTGTCAGTAACATGTACACACACATACTGTTGCATCTTAAATGACTTATACCGTCATCAAGCACAGGCTTGCATCATCTACAGCTATACAAATACACATATAACAGGTTCACTGATGAATATGCTGTTATGCTATACAGGATTACTGTTCTGTAACCATAACGTTTTATTTTGGCATGATTAATAATATGGGTGAAAGTACAAAGACTATTAAGTACTGAATTTGTGATAAAGATACATGAAAAGTCCAAGCAATGGCTCCTACACAAGACTAGTATCAATATTGTATACAGTCACATCACCATTTAAACCCATCGTGTTGCTGATAATCACGGAAGTTCATACAGCGCATAACAATTTCTGAAATATTTTTCAAAGGGAGAAATCTGCACAAAGGTAATGAGATCATACCACAGAGTAATGATAACCAAGGATGACTACCAACTGTAGATTGACGTTTCAGTCCACAAAAGATACACTTCGACTTCTTTTCACGCAGATGCTCAATTTACCGGAAACCACTTATGTCTTCATTTACGCTGTCAGTTCGGTATAAGGTGAACGCTGTAATGTACCCACCACAGCATCAATGCCACAGTCGTAGCAAATATTATCAGGCCTCTATAAATGGCTTTTGTTAAGTTTGATTTCGTCTTTTTCTTTCATAAGATGTATATGAATAATTGACGACAAGGAAAGAAGATAGCATCATTAATTGCTTCTTTTATCAGTACAACAGAAGCAACTACTATCAGCCTCCAGATATATCCACAGACCGTTATCGGAACTGTCGGAAAATATACAGAAACAAAAACAAAGAATAACAACAAAGACAGGCACTTTAAAATGAGTTATCTACCAGTCTAATTGCACTTGTAAACTCTCATCAAATATTAAAACGTTAAAAACCTTTCCTGATAATCACCTATAGATACCAGTACATGACAATAATGCCTTGGGTTAACAATATACGTCATGGACACAAGATGTGATTATCAACCATGAAATTAGATGGCAGGAAGAACTCATTAAAACGGACCATCTTTTTTAACACTTAGAGCCTGTATGCAAATGATGACAAATGTTTATAGCACCAAGAGAATCGTAACTGCTGTACATAACATCAGACAGAGGGATATACCTGGCTTCAGACAGTGACAGGTAACCCACAGGTAACCCACAGGTAACCCACAGGTAACCCACAGGTAAACCACAGGTAACTCAGGAAACATGTTATATGTAATTGAACAGGACAGGTGGGCTTATGCTCAAGATGGGCCTATGTTCACAACACTATGGTACACGATGGCAAACAACAGGCTTTCTCTGTATATAACACAGTACACTCACAATCCTATAGAGTCGCTAATGTCAGATTGTTTTGTTTTGTTTATGAACTTTTTTTCTGAAAAAGTTTGGTCAGTAGGTTGATTTTTTTATACAAAAAATACATTGTACAGGATCTTTTTTATTCATCATAAAGACTAATTTGGATCGATATGTGATCAAAAAGAAAAGTCATGGCCTGGTTTGGACACTCCTAAATGAAATGCAACGACTATTTATCATTGAACAAAATCTATTTTTATTAGAGATCAATACCATGGGTAGTATGGTAAAATCTTTTTTATTTTTAATTCATGTTTGTTTTTAAAGTTGGCTGATTCCTAAACCAGACCAAACATGGTAATGTGTAAGTAAGGGTAAGACATCATAAAGGTTAAGATATCATCACCTGCTTGATAAGAGTGTTAGAACCTACACCGAAATGTCGCTCCCAATTGTTATGAAGAAGTTGTTCATCCATATATCTTATCCTTACTCTGAACTCCAACTTCTAAATGCCTCTCAAAGTGAGTGAGTGAGTGAGTATAGTTTTACGCCGCTTTTAGCAATATTCCAGCAATATCACGGCGGGGGACACCAGAAATGGGCTTCACACATTGTACCCATGTCGGGAATCGAACCTGGGTCTTCGGCGTGACGAGCGAACGCTTTAACCACTAGGCTACCCGACCGCCCGCCTCTCAAAGAAGTCATCTATTGTGTAATAAATGCTGTGTACACTTGTATTATCATAAACCATTATCAATATAGTGAAACCTTGCTATTTCAAACTTAGAGTCATAGTCAATGGCATCATCAAAAATATAGTGAGTTATCAGTCATTTGAGGGAAATATTTGCTGCTATTGGACAACAGGTATTCTGTCTGGGCCATAAAGCTACATTGTCTTAAACGATATACCAGATTCATGGAGTGGTGGGGAACGAGGTTCCACTGTACACATAAATGTGGACAATATTTTTCAATTTCTTGTTATTATTAATATGGAACCCCCAGCAACAGTAACCTTTAGAATACCTGTAAAATTAATGAGGTGAAATGCAACTCCAAATTAGACATGATCAGAGAGGAGGTGGGGATGGAAGGAACAGGAAATTATGCTGTTAAATGACGAAACCTGAGAAAATATCAATGAGAGTAGACAAATGGAAGATTCAAGGGAGTCTTCCAGTCTCAGGGTGTAGTCTCAGGGTTTTACCTTGACTTACATAACTGGGGGTCCAGGGAACCCAATAATTATTTTAAGGGTCCTTGCCGGCAATATGAGGTCCCGTAGAGTAATGAAATGGTGTTGTGTACTGTACGTTGAGATAATTTCTTTAGAACTGGAGATAAATCAAAGATCATGTAGACAGTGGCCATGATTGATGAATGAAATGACAGACTCCCCAAACTGCTCTTGATGAGCTGTAGGTACCATGAATATTATTGTGTGTCCCAAGAGATGCAGGATATTCTTTTTCTGAGTCCATTCTCTACATTTGTGTGTACTGGATGCCCGCATTATGTGTCATGTAAAACCTTGAATACCATCCTCTGAATGGATGATTGAGTGAGTTAGTGAGTATGGTTTTGCGCTGCTTTTAGCAATATTCCAGCAATATCACAGCGGGGGACACCAGAAATGGGCTTCACACATTCTACCCATGTCGGGAATCGAATCTGGAACGAACGCTTTAACCACAAGGGTACCCCACCGCCCCGTGTTAATGAATGAGGGGGTGTTGTTGGATCAGTGTGTGTGAGCACGTGTGTGTGTGCGTGCGTGCATGTGCGTGTGTGTGTGCGTGCATGTGGATGAAACTGGATGATACAAGGGAGGGGAGGAGAGGGGAGAGGACATTTGTGGTCATTGTTTAAAAAAACTCTCCCCCTGATAAGTGGATAAGTTGACCAACAAGAGCTGACAGTCTACAATATCACTGACAACTCACTTGAAAATACAATATCCATGGCCCTGTGAGAACCTAATAATCATACATGTCTACAGCACTAGTTGTATACTCCCCAGGGAGGTGAGAATGAAAATCATGTGCACACTGATCCACTGATCGGGGTAATAATGAGAGCGCTTTGAGCAAGCTCTTGCTTAACACATAATTTATTATTTTCAGTTTTAGGCTCCCTTAGGCCAAACCAAGTTGAATAGGAAAAGACAAATAGTCAAGAAAACAAGACACAAGATGACCTAAATACTGCAAGGTCTAATATTATTTTATGTTGTTCATAGGACCCGGAGACCTAACATGAAGACAGTACATACCCTAATTTGTAAGGAAGATTTTTATTTCTCCAACTGACATTGAAATGTTGTGTTGCCGTATAGGGGTCGTCATGTAAGATGGAGGTCGCAGTGGGGGAAGTAAAGCTGACCTGACTGGACGCACCAGGGCTGATCTCTGCACCCAGCAACATATCCCAGTAGTCAGTCGGTCTGGTATGCTGGCTGGTGGGGGGGAGGAGGAGGGAAGGGCTGGATGTAGATAGCTATCCCAGTGGACACATGACAGTGGACAGGACGAAAGGAATGACATGCTAGTTATCTGTGTCAAGGAAAGACGAGACGCAATGGCAAATTGGCATAATTAAAGATATATTTGAACAGAAGATTCACCTACGGCAGTGTGGCAGTTTCCATTATACCACCCTGACAACTACCGTTTAAACTGGCATCCCCACCCCCACACACACACTGAGCCAACCTCCACTGAGGATGCCCAGCACTGGACTGTTCTCCCCACCCCCACCTCGGCTACCCAAAACTGACTGTGCTCCCCCCCACCCCCCTGAGGCTACCCAACACTGGGCTGTTGCGCGCAGCTGGTTTTCTCTGAACTGTCGCAAATGTAACACAATATTCCACTGTAATCTTCTCCTTGTTTACAGAAACAATATTGGTTGTTTATTCTTTTTCATGAAACCAGTGTAATTGATGACTTGAGAAGTTGGGCATCTTTAGAAAGTGTAAATGTTAGTTTAATTAGGCAGTTTTTCTGAGTGGCATTTCATTGTCACTGTAAGTGAACATAAAATCAACGGCATTAAATATTTCCATCTCATCGTTTGATGTGGTAATTCACGCTGGAAGATAGAAGACCAGAAGGCAGTGTCATCAGATGTACCCTGGGAATAGTTGCACCCACTGTATCACCACCATAAACAGAGGACAGGTTCGGGATCACTGCTAGCTTGGTACAACTCAGGGCTTTAATAGCTCCAAGTCCCTGCCCCACCCTAGGGGGTCTCATCAGCTTTAGGTGCCCCTGGGTGAGGAATGTTGGCTCACTATCATTATCCCTGTCCCTGTGATTACCTTCAACAACTTACACATCTGGAAGTCACTTCTTACATGGCAGGGGGAGGGGGGGAGAGGGATGGACAATCAGCTTCTGGGGTGGGGGTAGGATACAGGACTGGGGGTGGGGGTAGGATACAGGACAGGGGGTGATACAGTGTATAGGGAGTGTCTGGGAGAGATTACATGTTTAGTCTCTGAAAACAAATAATTTTGACTCCATTTAAATATAAAAGGAGCCCCAGTGAGATGGAGTTTCAGGACCTGAGGAAAATCTAGACTTGCTTCATTTAGTGCTTCTGCATTACAGAAAAGGCTGGATAGAAGGGAAAATAATATTGTTCCGGGACTGAGAGACAGACAAGTAGAAATGAGCAGTGTGGTGCCTCAAGCAAGGTGATACACAATCAGTCTCTGGGGTAGGGGATGGTGCTAAGGGTGGGGTGGTAGGGGATGGTTCTTGGGGTGGGATAATAGGGGTAGGGGATGGTGGTGCTAGGGGTGGTTTTGTTTGGTTTGGTGTGTTGTTAAATGCAGCACTCAGCAATATTACAGTTATATGATGGCGATCTGTAAATAATCGAGTCTGGGCCAGACAATCCAGTGATTAATATCATGAGCATCGGGGATGGGTTGGTAGGGGAATGGTGCTAGAGGTGGGGTGGTAGGATGAAGAACAGGGATGAAAATGATGTTTAGAGTTTCGAGGGATTGGTTGTGTGTGTGAGAGGGTGGGATGATGGTGGCGTGAGAGGGTGTGTTGAGGGGTAGACCAAATAGGTGTAAAGGTAGCTGGGGGGTACAGTGGTACTAAGGTGGAATGGGGGGAGGTAGTGAGACACAAGCAAGGAAAATGTGTGACTAGGGACGAAGCTGGTGTAAAAAGGTGCAGCCATGATGTAACACAAGAGGGCCGGCGGTCACTGCAAGCTGGACATGGGGACAGTCGTTTCAAACCACTAAGGTGACAATATGCTGAACTGTTTACCCATAGCTAAACAACCATTTCATGGTCCTCGGGCAACAAAAGAGCCACTCCTGATTCCATCTGTGAACAGCATTTACACAGTCGTGGATGAGCAAAAGGACCACATTTACCAAATAAAGACGATGACACAATGCGACAACACAAACTCTTCAGTCTGTATCCATTGCAGCTGAAGTAGTCAAGTGTTGAAAGGGCTGATAACAGTGATAGGGATCAGATCCTTGGCTTGTCACTCGGCCCTGGCCTGGCCTGGCCTCCACATTAGGCCAGCAATCATTATGTCATCAGTACTAGATAAACAGGTTACTTGCCATGTGCTCCTTCAATCAGTAACACAAGCTGGCTGTGCAAGGTCCCTATCACGGCCATTATACAGCTTGGGGCAACACTATCAATAGGATAACAGCACAAGGATATCAGCCAAGTGGTTGATAAATATGACATATACAGTTAATGTGACACCATTGTGGGATATAAGTCCTTTATAAAAAAACACATAATGGTTTGGTATAAAAAATTAATGCCACTTCCAGCCCACTCTGGGAATAATCTTGGGATTAATACATACAGATGGTCGTTTATTTGGCTTAGTATTGTGACAGTTGTACAAAGCGGTTATGTTAAATCAGGCAGATCAGGTACAATGTAGCCTGACTCACGAGGAGATTACTGAGTACGTATATCTGCCCTGGACAGGTAGCTGACACCAACCTATAGTCCTATCTATCGAGAGCTATTGGCTCTGGCTTCCCACCTACTCGAGCACATAACACATGGACAGATTGTAACTGTAGCCTACAACCTGGCCTACTCCAGGCATATCTGGAACATCTTGATTGGACATCAGCTGTAGCCTACAACTTGGCCTGCTCCAGAATATCTGGAACATCTTGTTTGGACATCAGTTGTAGCCTACAACTTGGCCTACCCCAGGCATATCTGGAACATCTTGATTGGACATCAGTTGTAGCCTACAACTTGGCCTACTCCAGGCATATCTGGAACATCTTGATTGGACATCAGTTGTAGCCTACAACTTGGCCTACTCCAGGCATATCTGGAACATCTTGATTGGACATCAGTTGTAGCCTACAACTTGGCCTACAACTTGGCCTACTCCAGAATATCTGGAACATCTTGATTGGACATCAGTTGTAGCCTACATTTACCTTCTTTCAACAGATCACAGAGATAAATAAATGCTAAAAGTATTAATGGTAAAACACCAAGATTTTCCAAAAAGGTTATACAATGTGATGATGACAGTGGACAGGTAGAAGGAACACAAAATAGATGCAGTTGTTCTTAATGTTTCACACACTACTTTAAGCTCACTGCACTAAGGATGAAGAATGAAAGAATTACAGATTAATTCTTCGCAAAATGATGGTTGTACAGTCAAGTTTTCCATCATACTGGGGGTATTGTATTCACAGAGTATGTCTGGGTGAGAGTCCAGGTGTTATGTGGTGGGGGGAGAGTAAAGCTGTCCCATCCATGCAGGAGATAGTGGACATGCATGTCCCATTACACACTGCGGCAGTTGAGGCTGATGATGTTGGCACATGCAGACTGATGTCAATGATGATGTTGTGAATCTACATGCTGACACTGCCACCGTCTTTGTACTTGGTGAACACATTGTACAGCACTCTCAACGTCGACTTGAGGTCCAGGTTGACAACATCTGTAAGAGAACAGTTCATCGTTTACATAAAATAACAACATTTGCCCACCCTGTGTTAAACAGCCAGGCAATAACACACATAAAATAACAACATTTGCCCACCCTGTGTTAAACAGCCAGGCAATAACACACATACAATAACAACATTTGCCCACCCTGTGTTAAACAGCCAGGCAATAACACACATAAAATAACAACATTTGCCCACCCTGTGTTAAACAGCCAGGCAATAACACACATAAAATAACAACATTTGCCCACCCTGTGTTAAACAGCCAGGCAATAACACACATAAAATAACAACATTTGCCCACCCTGTGTTAAACAGCCAGGCAATAACACACATAAAATAACAACATTTGCCCACCCTGTGTTAAACAGCCAGGCAATAACACACATAAAATAACAACATTTGCCCACCCTGTGTTAAACAGCCAGGCAATAACACAGATAGAATAACATTTGCCCACCCTGTGTTAAACAGCCAGGCAGTAACAATTGGTTGCCTTACTGAACACTTTCGTGAATGAATGGGGTTATGCTTCTTTTTATGCAACTTTGCAGCAATATCATACCAGGAGAGAGGCGTGAAAGGGGTATACAATTGTACACACAAAAGGACTCCACTCCAGGTGCTCCATGTGACAAACAAGTGCACAATCTGCTGGTCTACCCAAGCACCCCCTCTCAGCACTTCAATACCTTGCTTCAAGAATCCCACAATATCATATTTACTCTTGAAAATAGTGAAAAAGGGGTACATTTCTTTTTCATTTTTTTTAAATCAAATGAAGTTGATAGATGAAAAAGTAAAACTATTTACACATAAGGCTTGTTTTCGTCATGAATAATGCATGTGGACTAATAATGAAAATAAATAAATAAATAAATAAATAAATAAATAAATAAATAAATAAATAAATAAATATAATGAAATAAATCAAACATATAATCATAACAACAATAATAATGATGAAAATATAAATAACAATCAATCTATGGTGCTTTTTATTGCTGAATATCATGCTCAAAGCACACAACACATTAATGACAATAACACAGGTGAGTGAGTTGGCAATATTCCAGTCCATTGATGTCACTGCAAATGATACAGAGAAGCAACCAAATGGTTGATAGCCTTATGAGTTTTTGACTGGGCACAATACACAAAATAGCAATTTTCCAAAAAACTTGTACCCAAGAAAGGGTGTGTGCATCACACTCAGGTGCACGCTATACACAAGAAAGTAGGGTGTTATGGATCTATACTGTCATGGAATCGCCACACATGAAAATAAGCCTTGTACACAAATTGCTTACTTGGATTTATCATTGACTTATATGCCATGTCAGCACCTTCCAAGCACCTGTTCAACTGATGAGCGAGCGACAACTTAGTCGGCATGATAGGAATCAAAACTATTAAAATTCCAATAAGAATAATTGTCACAAATCATATAATCTAAATAAAACAAGTCTACAGCATCAGCAGATATCTGTTATCCTTCAATCAATCTCCTCCTGCATCGTCAAGCTTAAAGCCATGTAGGTTTAAAGTCAATTTAAAACTATCAGTTAACATTCTAACCATCTTAAACTCTCAAATATGTCAACTCTCCAATGCCCATTTTCACTTTATTAGCCATCTGCATGTAACTGATGAAATGCAAGACAAAGGCAATTGAATAATTAAAGCATGGATTGTCTGTGACAATATCATACATAGCAAAGGGCAAATCTCAACTATCAGATGGTGATACAGAATTCACAAAATCATCACACACTTTCAAACAAAGGCATAATCATAGCAGACAAGCAGTGCCGGCTCACACGACTGTCCTGACTAATTGAAAAGTGAAGGCTTTGTCCGGACAAGGGACACATGAATTACTAATGCTTGCCCGAGCCTTGACGAAAGTTACGAAACTGCTGCAGAACCGCTGCAGGCAAAAAGGATCAAATAGGCCTTGATAATACAACAGAGGAAACAATGGCTGATCAGGCATAAGTGGTCGGAAATGAAATGTAATACATCATAATGTCGGCCTCTCAGTATAACTATACTTTCTGCGGTTCCTCAGGAGCACTTTGTTTAATCTTTCTCCGAGTTGAGTATCTCGGTTCCTATAATGTAACATGTCTTGTGTGTCAAAAGGACTCCTCAAGCTTTTATGGAATGGGACCAATTGGTGCTTCACAAGGCGCTTGGACACTTTGATGACATTAACAATGGCCAAGATTGAACAAAGTTGGGAGGATAATAACCTATACGTAAGAGGCCTGGATCACGCATATTTGCTTTCCAGTAGGTGTCCGGCTGACACTAGAGGGAGCCACCTGCTTCAAAGCTACGCATCTGATCAGTTTGGAAACATCAGGAAATGCCTTTGCTTTGAACAAAATCTGAGTTGTATGGATTCTTTGAGACAAAAATGCCTCCTTAAAAGTGATTTTAGAAGTTTTGTGATACAAGCAGCTTTTTTCACCACGAACAAGTAGGAAAAAATGATAACAAACACAATGGGCAAGTTGAGCCTGAATCATATCTGAAAACATAAAGGAAAAACAAATAATTGGGGTTTCTATCAGCGTCAGTTAGTCGGTTTGATTGTGTGTTTCAAGACACTAAATCCATTATTCCAATGGTCACCAGTGGCCATGTCTACAGGACCAGAGTCTACTTGGAACAAACTTTCTTTGAATATCACATAATCACAGCTTCTAAAAACTATATCAATGACATAAATATTTAATATGCTGAAAAGCGAGATCATTTATCTGAAAAGGTGATCATGATATTAACGTTAACAATGCATGGTGCACGTGACAACACACCTCAAGTGTGGAAAATATCTTAATGTTGTGTGAGCACAATTGAAAAAAATAAACATATTTGTCAAAAAATATTCACAACACCCAACCATTAATGTTTCAAATTCAAAGATTTTTAAAAAATATATTCAAACAGAATACTGAATAAAACTCATGATTCTTTTAATATACTTCTAAAGTTTCACTTGTGTGCTTATTGAACATTTTAAAAGTATATGTGCTTCCTGCAGAGAAGTGATACAAACAGATCACTTGTTTCTTTCAAATAAACCATGTGTAGGAAGACAAGAAAACATCGTAAATTAATTGTATAAATGAAGGAAGTCCCATTAGAACCTAATACTTAGTAGCACTGCATCTGTACATCTAACATTACAGTCAGCTGATGAAGAGGGGGAAAAGAAGGGATGGGGGAAGAAAAGCCAAATTTCCATGGCAACAGGAAAGGGGGAGAGTAATGCCTGTTGTTGCATGTATCAGTGACGCTGGGGGATAAGGGATGGGGGAGGGGGGTCAGCAGTCTGGCTGAGTCTGCCTGACACATGGGCGGATAATAAAGCATAGTGTTCCATGTAGTGTTCTTCCCTGACATCAAAGACCTGTGGCATGTCAGCCATTGGAACTGCAACACAAGTATGGGACGCGGCCATGGTTAAAATTCCTGGCAAGTCAAAAACTCTCAGGGAAAATCTTGACAACTCCATGGCTGTCTACAAACCAAACATCAAAGCTTCTGTGTTGTTATTTTTGCAGCAAGGTTTCCCAATCTTGCAAGTTGAACACACAGTCCGGGAGACCAGGGGGGAGGGAAGTGGGGGTGGAGCAGCCTGGGGGATGGGGGAGGGGGGAAACAGAGCCGAGAACAGGGCCCTGGGGAGGTCCATGCAACACACACTCTGACAATGGGGACAGTAGTCTTCACATGATGACAAAACACTTGGCAGAGATAGCGCTCAGTGAGACACATACTGACTTGAATGAGTTTGACATTCAAATCTAGAAAGGAGTCATGTCAAAAGTAATTATCCTTACTTTCATGCTTAAATCACATCTTCATATTCAACCCAAACGAGATTGTGTGCTAAATCTATAAAATGATCAAAAGATTAAAAATACAAGAAAAATGAAAATTTGATATAATCTTAGTTTTCACTAATTAAGAATTGATGCCAAGTTGTAGATGTGGAATTAATCTTCCAGTTCATCTGTTTTGATACATGTTGATGTTAATATCCCCAATACAAGTAGGATATAGCAACATGTAGTGATATAACCCTGAGCACATCCAATAGATAGATAGTGTTGTTTACAGTAGAGTTATTATGAAGGGGACTGACTGCATTGGCTTTATCTGTCCACTGCATCTCTTGCCAAGCTAAATAGTGAACTACAATATGCAGTAAACTTGCACTCTGATATATCTGCATTTTCTTAATTCTGACATTTAATAAGTTAGATGATGAAAACATCAAGTCTAGATAGCTCCCAGTCCACATATATATAAGCATTATGAAAGGGGCTCTATTAAAATGAATATTTATACTTCTTCAGACAGAGAAATTCATAGATGATAAAATATTTCTTGGAATAAATGTTAGCATTCATAGGTAGCTGAGGCTACACATTGACCTGGGGTCCTGTTCTAGTGAGGAAGGTCCCCAAGTGAGGTAGGTCCCAAGTTTGAGCTAGGTCCCATGTCCCCAGTTCAAGGAAGGTCCCATGTCCCCAGTTCAAGGTAGGTCCCAGGTCCCCATTTCAAGGAAGGTCCTATGTCCCCATTTCAAGGAAGGTCCCATGTCCCCAGTTCAAGGAAGGTCCTATGTCCCCATTTCAAGGTAGGTCCCAGGTCCCCATTTCAAGGTAGGTCCCATGTCCCCAGTTCAAGGAAGGTCCCATGTCCCCAGTTCAAGGTAGGTCCCAGGTCCCCATTTCAAGGTAGGTCCCATGTCCCCAGTTCAAGGTAGGTCCCATGTCCCCAGTTCAAGGTAGGTCCCATGTCCCCAGTTCAAGGTAGGTCCCATGTCCCCAGTTCAAAGTAGGTCCCATGTCCCCAGTTCAAGGAAGGTCCCAGGTCCCCAGTTCAAGGAAGGTCCTAGGTCCCCATTTCAAGGTAGGCCCCATGTTCCCAGTTCCAGGTAGGTACTAGGTCCCCATGTCAAGGTAGGTCC